AGCAGTTCATTTCTGAAAGCTGTCGTCTCAACAAATATTTCTGAGCTTGAAATAATTATTTTGGAATTGGATTCATTACAGAAGAGCATTTTCTCAAAATCAATAAAATATGCGTAAACTGCATCACATCACAATTTTATTATGATCTGGTACTTATAGGAGATCAAAAGTATACATATATATTTGTTTCATATAAGTAAAAATTACTTATATGAAACAAATATAGTTTGCGGTAGTTCTTTACTCGAGCTACAATCAAATGAACTATCTTCCGTTTCCACTGTGATTTGTTCCATATAATTTATAATACTCGAGACTTTTACTTTCAAAATAATGGAGATTATATGAATATAAATATTCAAAAGCCTTCTTCTTCTTCTCTTTCATCATGTAATGGCCTCAGCTACTAAGACTATAGCGTATTGACTTAACACTCAATTGTCAGCTGTCAGCTTCGAGTGCTGTCCACTGCTTCTTCTTCTTCCATATTTTTTCAATATTGATTATTTGTAGAATTTTTCGTTACTTTATGTTTGAATCCTCTACGCCGCTACCGTCGAGTAAATTCCGCTACGGTTGACAACGCTGGTACAGACCATTTGTATGTCTTGCAAGAGCTGTCGTGGGTATATTAAAAATGAGTTCGTGCGAATGGGGTATCGTTTTTAGAATAAAAAAACGACTTTGGAGCACTCGAGGTTAACAAAATCTTAAGGATGAAATTCATAACGATTCACAATCGATTATATTAAATGTAGAAACTATTCTGGATGATGAATCAGATAATTTTGGATGATGAATCGGTTAATTTGCAGTCAATAGAAAAATTCCATATCGAAAACATTGATGTTGTTTTGGCGGACGATAACGTTAGTCCCATGGATGTAGCTATAGGGTATCAAAGTGATAGTTTAGATGTTTATAATATGAAAGTGAGGATGAAATACAAACGTTACAAAGGTTAACAAGTCGATAAATCGCGAAGAAACCGGTTGTTTGAACCCATCTATTGTAAAAAAAACTAAACCCCTTTGTTTTGACAACAGGTGTCAATTTTTCGGATAATGTAGATATTCAACTGATATTTTTCTGCAACTCTCATGTGTGAATTTCGAAGTATACCTTGGAAAATTCGATGAGAATACAGAAACAAATTTGTAATGCGGGTTGTAAAGAACCTTACACAAACTTCAATTGGAAAACACCACAAAATGTATTTCAATGGGGAATGTTTCTCAATTTGGGTTATTACAGCAAATGCAAGTTTGAACAAAATTAAGTTGAGTTTAATTCATGAGTTTTTCAAATTCACTTCGAAAAGTATTCAAATTCAATTCGATAATTATTCAAATTGATGTTTCAAATGTTGGGTTTTAATTTTTAAAGGGATTTGTTCCTAATTCACATATTGGCAACAGCGCCTATATCAAGTTGAAATAATTTATACGTACCTAGATATTCTACTTTAAAAAAGGAAAATTATCTTTATAAATCAACAATTGAAGGCAAAATATAAATTATAGTTCAATACCACCTCCACAAGCCACATTTTATATAGAGGAAGATAGGTTAGGTCATATGTCACAGAATGTCTCGGAACTCGGAAAATAAGTAAACAGAACATCACGCCTCTGAAATATGTCATCTTTGTTTGTTTCATACAGGTAACAGATTCATTTTCCTTTATTAGCTATAACCGATGTTGCCAAATGGTGAAATAGAAACGAATCCCTATAAATGTTGAATGCATTATTTCATTCTTCTTTTTTAAGTATTTAAATAATTTTTCAAAGAAATAGGTTGAAATGATAAGTTTAAAATGCGTTGTTCTAGAGCTCTTTTATGAAAACTACTTGATTTTCATCAGGAGGAACATTAATATGCGTGCCGGAACGTTTAGAAAAGACTAAATAACAGTTATTCTAGCACTTTGAAGTATATTTTTACTCAAGCACCTTAAGAATCGATTGGATCTTCGTTATACCCTTCTCACAAGTCCTTCAACTTAACCCCGTTAAAATTAGCCTCGTGAATTGATTGCGTTTATAAATATAAACACGTCGCTGACTGTGGAATCTCAATTAAACAAATACGGAGAAGTCTATTTTAATTACCCGGCGTTGCTGCAAACTACCAATAAGGCCGAATGAATAATCTGGATTGTCTTAGGTCGGGACAAGATGCTGTGCATTCCTAAGTGGGAAATCGATAACGAATATTTCCACTCGGGTGTTTCCGGGCTGGCGATTGATTTGAGGAAAGTTGCATTCCATTGAGGTCAAGTAATTCTAGAAGGGAGTTGGTCGGTTTTTTATTTGTACAGATCTTAACCAATAGACATTCAATATTGAGTCTTTCTGATACGTCAGAATACTCGATGTGTAACAGGTTCAGACTACCCTTGCCTGAAAAATTGTTAAATAATTTTGAATCTATGAAAGAAAAAAGAAATAAATGAAATAATAATAATGCATAGGAGTTTGCATCACAAATCGTCCGTTCCACGGTTGTACTTCCCCCGACAGCAGGGAGGCCGTGGACTTTTGAGTTTGGAGTGTCTACATGACAACAGAATGGTACTGGATGGAGCCTGTGAAGTCGTCAGGAGTTCGGATCCCCTTCTCTGCATGATCCGCGACCACGAGAGAGCAGGAATTGGAGTATTTCTCTTTAGGGCAGCTGCCCGAGCAGCTGATGAACTCGGTATAGTTTTCGACACTGAACGAGGTGACCACAACTCTGTCACCGAGTTGGAACCCGTTCAGCAAAAGGCTGATATTGCTTCACTACTGCGGCAACACAAGGATAAGTCAATACATGGGGTCTTCTTCAACAACATTGAAGACCTTGGCTTATCAAAGCGCATGACCGTAGCTTCTTCAGTTCTAGTGCGCTGAAGTCGGAAACTGGGGGGTTTATCATGGCCTGCCAGGATGGTGTCTTTATCACCTTAGTCTACCGCAGTCGTGTGATGGGTATAGAGGTTTCTGACACAAGGTGCAGGGCCTGCCGCGCGGCGTCTGAGACCTTAAAGCGTCAGCATATCCAGCATATGCGGATCAGCGTATATCCGGCCTCAACGTATATTCTAAGGATGCTTTATTGCCACATTCGGCACTTTTACGGTATTAATGAGACACCGGTGTTGCTCTACGCTCCGGGGGATATTGAATCCGTTGTGGCGAACGAGAAGTGCCGAATTTATTGGAACTATTCGTTCCCCAACCTCAGGCTCATACAAGCTAATAAGCCTGATGTAGTCCTTCTCGACCACCAGACCCAGACGATATTTGTCGTGGAGTTTTCAGCTCCTGGCGCGATGAATATCGTCAGAAAAGAGGAGGAAAACGAATAAAATATCGAGATTATCTCTTCGAACTCCGCAGACTCCATCCAGACCACTCTGTCAAAATGCTTCTTGTCCTTGGAGTCCTTGGTAGAATGATGTCCTCTCTACCCTCGAGTCTCAAAATAATATCAGCTTTACGCACTAGGCCAGAAATCTCAGCCGGACAAATATAGAAGGCTGTCATTCTTGGCTCACTGCGCTTACTCAGGGCACATGATTCTTGGACTCAATGATCACGCACCCCACGGTGTGGGGAGTGGTCGTTGGTTGAAAATATTGGCACGCCCTTATGAATGTATCGGGGCTTCGGTAGATAGGACCAGAGCAAACTTAGGGTTGAAAAAATAATTTCAGTAATGTTTATTCACCAACATTGAAATAAATTCCAAAATACATCATTACAAATAGAATACAAAACAAATTTATTAATTGTCCTAGGTAATGGACATTGAGAAAGCCTGTTGAAACCCTAAGGTTGTGCTAAAGAGTTTTCTACTTACAGTGTTACCAAATATTCTTCGAACAGAAATTCAGTGTGTTTTTACAAAATTTTGCAAAATGCGGGACGGTAGCCGGTTGGACTGGCGTGGGTGGTTTGCTCTGTTATGAAAACTAGTGGTTAAATCCGTGAGGCTGGACGACCGATTTTCACTTTTTATCGTGCTAGGAATCGCACGTTAAAAGGCAAGACCTCGTTTATTCTCAGCTTGTACAAATTTCGACTTCTGAGGGCTGTCTTTTCTAGGGGGGCGACAGCTGGTTACGGAAAAACGGATTTTAACTGAGAATGACAATGAGAGGAGTATCGGAATTCTGTATGATTTATTTGCTATGAATTATTTGCTATAAATTATGTTCAAGACGATTTTCTGGTCTACATCTACGAGATACTTCTTGAACATATATAAATTGAATAATCAAAAGTAAATATAAGAAATACTGAAACGTAGCTGTGAAATGTCTTTTTCATTTTTAATTTTTTAGCATTTTTTCTTAATTTTATATTTTTTTTATTGATATTCAGCCATTTATCAATTCATTTTCATTTCATATCACCATAATTGTTTTTTTCTACAAATTAGCGTTTTTATATATTTGTTTTTGCTCATTGTTAATTTTTTTCCCCTCATTTTTTTTCAGAATGAAATTTCCTTTTTCTTCGACTCATTTTTACAATTTTTGACATTATTACTATTCCATTTATTTTTCATTTCATTTTATTTTTCATTTTTTTCTATTTCTCCAATTTGAAATCGGTTAGAAACTTCGTAGACAATGAAGGCTGAATCTACAACATTCACCAATCAAATTCAAATAATAGCTATTCATTTTTTTCTATTTCTCCAATTTGAAATCGGTTAGAAACTTCGTAGACAATGAAGGCTGAATCTACAACATTCACCAATCAAATTCAAATAATAGCTATTCGTAGTACTAGAGAGGAAAATATCACTTTTCCTGCTGCAGGATGTAGTACTTTCTGTTTCCAACATAAAAAGAAAATAAGAAAGAGTGATATTTGACAACTTTTTTGAGGAAATTTTGAGCCCTAAAACGAAATTCAACCAATCAACGACGACTACTGAAACCCTATAATTTTTATCAAGGTTTTTTGTTGCTAATGATGAAATTCTCTTTGTTTCTTTTACAGAGATTGGTCGAACAGATGCAACCACAACCATTCCGAACCTTCAGATCTGAATTCCACATGAGCAGTACCAGCGAACACACTTCAACATATACTACAACAACCCACTACAGCAAACAGTAAGTTTATTTCATTGATAATTCCTAGACGAAAATATACAGTGAAATACTGAAAACGAAGTACGATTTTTTTTTCGTGAATATTCAATACGATTTTTTCAAGAAACATAATACGTCAGCACAAACTTAAAATTTCAGTCATCGCATTGAATTTTTTGACAGATCATGATCTATTACTGTTTATATTGAACCAAAAATTATCTCCCGTCACTAGGTATGTCCAAACTACAAAAACCTCTTCCAACTCTGAGAACGGCACAACCATCAAAATCACAGATGAGCAGACAAAAGATAACTGGAAAAACGATGAAGTGGACCACATAACTAACGGTCGTCCACCAGACAAACACACCACCCTGACTAAAATAATTCAAGAACCCCAAAGATGGGACAGCTCGATGCAATTCACAGAAATCAAATCACTGAAAAGGAGCCATAACACTCCCGAAGGATTAGATATCCTCGACATCGCCGGAATCATCAATCCCTATACGGGAGAATTACTGACAATACGAGAGGCCATCGCCGAAAGAATATTAGACGTCAGGACCGGTAAAGTAGTTGCCTCTATGGACGGCACCCAAATTTCTATAGGCGAAGCTCAAAGAGCGGGACTAGTCGAACCTAAAATTGCAGAAAGACTGAGCAGCCCCTGTGGAAGCACTGAAGATGGTCGTGATCTCACACTTCTGGAGGCAATTCAACGCGAAATCTATGAAGCGGAGCAAGGTTACCTAGACCCATCTGAGAAGAGAATGAAGGTAACCCATTCCATCACTATAAACCAAGCCATCGATGATGGAAGAGTCGATATTCAGTCCGGAACGTACACGCTAGACAACGGAGAAACAATTGACATCAGGGAAGCTTATAAGCGAGGGTACCTTCTTCAGCACACGGAAGTCAAGTTACAAACAGGTGCAGTGCCCTTGTCAGACGCCATTAGTCAGGGCTTGATTGATGATAAAACCGGGTGGATTGTGGACCGCAACTCGGGAAATAAGTATCAAATCGATGCCGCGGTTAAATGTAACGTCGTCGATGGTGACATCAGGGAAATCGTTGATCCCAAAACGGATAGTAAAATAACAGTAATACAGGCCCTAGAGAGTAATTTAATCAACCCGAAATTAGGCAAGTACGTATTAGGCCACGAGAAATTGAATTTCCTCGAGGCTAAGCGCCGGCAGCTGATAGTCAAACCAAAATCTCTGAAAGAAGTAGTTGACGATAACTTGATGGACGATGAAGGTAAGATTTTCTCGCCGATGCATCAAACGAAATTGACTCTATTAGAGGCTGCTAATCGCGGCGTTCTAGACCTCGACTCCACTAAGACCATCTTGGATCTGAGAACTAACGAGCATGTAACGCTGAGCGAAGCTCTCAAAGAAGGCATAATTTTGCCTGACAGCAAGTTCAGGAACTGCGTAACGGAAGAGGTCGTTACCATCCAAGAGGCCGTTAGCAGGGGTTACATAATATCCGTAGTCAGGAAGTCCATCTTTGACGTCGACGGTTTTCAACCGCCTGATAAATCAGATCACATCAGCTTCAATGCCGCCAACGTAAAAGGTTTCATCAGCAAAAAGAATGGGGGTAGTCTATTGGTGAGTAAAAAGAGCGGCAAGCTAATTCCGTTTATAGAAGGGGTAACGTCCGGGGAGGTAAAACCGGAAGTTTACGAAAATCTAACGCGACCTATCGGTATAATCGAAAACCAGCGTGAACTGAATCTTTTAGAAGCAGTATTTCGCGGCTATATCGACCCGAAAAGCGGTAACCTCATAGACTTAACCACAAACAAAATCGTCTACCTGAATGAAGCCATTGCGCAAAACCTTATAACTCCTGAAGGCGCTGCTCTCTTGAATAGCCTATTGAACCTGAACGTGTCTACACGCGTCACGCGCACCCTAGTTCAGAGGTACGTCACTGTCACGAGCAAAGATGTAAAACAGGAAGTTATCACTTATACGGAAGCCCTTCGGTTGGGTCTGATAAATAACGAAGAACAGACTTATACCGATCCCCAAACCAAAACCGTTATTCCCATCGTTCAGGCGATCAGCGAAGGTAAGTTAGCACCCGATACCGAAAGTTCCGAAAAAATCGTAAGCCCCAGTACTTCGAAAACGTCCACTGTTTCTATTCATAGTAATAAAGGTTATCCCGTTGCGAGAGATTCTGATTCGTCCAATACCAAAATTCAGTCGTCGGAATTCATAACTAATGAGAAGAAATCTTTCGAAAAATACGTGTATGATGTTCCCAAAGAAGGTTGGAACCTGGCAGACGCCATAAATCGAGAATTGTTCGATCCCGTTAGCGGTTTGTTTATTATATACGGCACTGACCGTCTGGTGACATTCGAAGAATGTATCACATTAAAACTTATCAACAGCTCTTCCGTAGTTGTGGTAGATCCCCTCACCAAACGTCAAATTCCAGTCACAAGAGCCTTAGAGAAAAAAATTGTGAACGCTACTGGGCATTACATAACTGAAACAGAGCAGCTTACAATGCAAGAAGCTATCAACAGAAACGTTATACTACTAGGAGGGAAAGTGGAGACAGATCACACATCCAAAGCAGAGTCTAAATCTCTTGAACCAGTGCAAATTCAAACTGGTGTTATTTACGACCCCAAATCTACTTTGGTTATATTCTCGCAGGAAAACCAGTCATCAGATCTCATAACAGCAGTCCTTGAGAACAAAATCTCTTCAGAAACTATAAAAGTTAAAGACCCAAAATCGGGAAGAGATATCTCTATAAAGGAAGCAATTGCACGTAATGTAATTCATCCTGAGGAAAAAACTTACACCGATAAATCTGGAAATAAAATATCTTTGCAGGACGCGACTAAGTCAGGTCTACTGGCCGTTGTTGGAACGCCTATTTTAGCCACGAAATCGATGATTGGAATCGTCAAGAACATTTTTGTCGTAGATCCGAAAACAGGTGAACAAATACCGGCTGAGGTAGCCCTGCAACAAGGTCTTATCGATCAGGAGGCATTTGACAATTTAAGATACGCAAATTCTACCCATGTAACTGATCAAGGCGTTCAGTCTGTAATCACTGAAACCCACAGTTCTATACGAATTACCGATCCTAAAACCGGGAAAACATATACATCTCATGAAGCTCTAGCTGAAGGAATCATCACACCTGAGCAACTGGATGAAATCAAAGTCCAGAAGGAAGATATCCCTAAAATGAAGAAACTGGGTACAGTCTCGATCAGTCTGGACGAACCAAGTAAAATGTCGGAGGCAGAAAAGACCAGAGCGCGTATTACTATCGAGCCTACGTACAGAGTGAAGATTGGACGAGCTCAATCTTTGAGCCCAGAAAGAGAAGCTAAACGAGTAGTTTTGCAAAAACTTAGAAAGAAAATAGTGAAACCTATGGAAGCGCTCGAAACAGGTATCATAGATGAGGATACAGCACAAATTTTGGAGGAGAGAGAAAGGTTCATTTCCTCTGAAGGTGAGCAGCTGACTCTACAAGAAGCTCTAGAAGCCCGAAAAGTGGACGGCCACCAGGGCAAGATCGTGGATCCTCAACGAGGTGACTTACTCACCATCAAGGAAGCCATCGAGCGTGGAATTTTGGACCCTGATGGTACCAATGAACTATTAGTGCCTTTGAATCGAAGTCTGTCCATTCCTGAATTGGTGAAACAGGGTTTACTTGATGTAGAAACTAACAAAATTGTGCACCCCGAAACCGGAGCTCATTTGAGTATCAGCGAAGCTATTGTCTGTGATATTATCGATCCGCTCAGCACTCTAGTCGAAAAGTCTGGCGATGTATTGACTGTGAGCGAAGCGATCGAAACCGGTGTGATAGACGACGAGAAATCGACAGTTCAAACAAGTCACGGCAGCTTAGATATACAGGAAGCCGTTAAAGACAAAATATTTGACAATACCGTCCACTCTGGACCTATAGAAATCCCACCTGCAGGCATGACATTCCCTGTAGCCGTGAAACGGGGTCTAGTCGATACCGAGAAAAAGGAAATTATGAACCCTATTACTAAGGAAACCATACCGCTCAGTGAAGCTATCGAACATAACTTTATAATGTCGTTGCCGTTCCCCGCTAGTCCTGAATCGATTAGGATCGAAGATGCCTTGGAATCTCATCTAATCGACTCCGAAAAAGGGACTTTCACTGACCCTAAATCCGGAAAAATGTACCCCGTATCCGAGGCGGTTGAAAAAGGATTGCTGGTCATAAAGGAACCGCTTGAAGGGTTGTCTTTCGCCCACTCAACTCCTGTTACTACTCTAACTGAGACGATAAACACTATTCATACTGTCACTACCAAAACAATCGAACTTCAAACCGGATTCGCCCTTCTGAACAAGGGCGAAGTACAGAACTTAGAAACTGGTCAAATTATTTCTATAGATGAAGCAAGGAAACAGGGAATCGTCAAAGATGTCAGTGAAACAAAGAACCGCACCATTGTCAAAGATATCAAGATGAGTTTTTCTGACGCCTTGAATAAGGGCCTCGTCGATATGAGCGCGGGTATTTTCACAGATCCGAACTCAGGAGAAAAAGTTTCCATTGAGCAAGCATTACAAGAAGGGAAATTATCAGCTGTGCCAGACACTAACGTAGAAACACATGAAACTGTCGTTACTAGTCACAAAACAACCGAACTGAATATCGCCGAAGCTTTTCAAACTATTTACAATGAAGAAACAAGCACTTTCCACGATCCGTCTGACAAAGATAAACAGCTAACGTTCAAAGAAGCCATGGAGAAAGAAATCATTGACCCCAACTCTATGGTGTATGACGTTACCGCACACAAACCTATAACAGTGGAGCAAGCTGTAGAAAAGGGGTTACTTGATCCAAAGACTGGCAAAGTAATGGACGAGAAGTCCGGGAAAACCATAAACTTCAAAGAAGCGACCAAAAAAGGACTCATCGCAGTTCTAGGCGGGTTGGCACTGCCTGTGGTAGCTCCTGTTTTAGCAGGAGCTGCCGCCGTAAAAGCAGTTAAAGACTTTGCTGAGAAGAAATCACAGCGATCTTCGGAAACAACACAGGATACAGCAACAAGCTCTACCACTACAACTACGACGCATGAAATCTACTCTCAAAAATTACTCAAGCCTGTAAAATCCAAGTCCAGTGATGTGAAAGAAGAAGTTACTCTAATCGTGGAGGTGCCGCAGAAGCCGGTCTTTCTTCCAATCGGAGACGCCATCTCGCAAAGTAGAATCGAGCCGAAAATCTGTCGGGTTGTACACCGTAACGAAGAACTACCCTTCACGGTTCAAGACGGTTTAGATCAAAATAAAATCAGCCTTCTTGACGAAGTTCAAGTCATGAGCAATCACGAAGTTGTCCTGGTGGAAGAGTACAACACCAGCGTGCTAGTTATGTCTAAAACTATAACCGCTCAGAAGCTAGCGGAACTTGGCTACTATGACCCGAAATGTCGCAAATTCCTCAACCCCAAAACTGGAGCTTACATTAGCTTTGAAGAGCTTGTCTATGGCTTGCGAGTGTTCGATCCCGAGACGATTCTAGTGAAAGATTCGACCAAGAAACCCCCTGTATACATCACCCTTGATGAAGCTTTGAGGAGACCTTTGATCGACAAGAACAGCGGCTACATGGTGGATCCTAAGACTGGTAAAAAGGTGCCGTTCTTCGAGGCCGTGAAGCTTCGATGGATCATCCACGTCAACGACAAACCCAAGGAGAAGTACCAACCGCTGACATT